CATTTGTAGAGATGTGGATGGACCTAGACACTGTTATACCTTACAGGGTGAAGTAAGTCAGAAAAAGAAAAACAAAGATTGCATATTAATGCATGTATGTGAAATCTTGAAAAACGGTACAGATGAGCTTATTTCCAGGGCAGGAATAGAGACACAGACATAGAGAATGGACATGCGGATACAGTGAGGGAAGGGGAGGGTGGGATGAACTGGGAGATTAGGATTGACATATATGCACACCATGTAAAATGGATGGCTATGGGGAACCTGCTGTATAGACAGGGAGCTAGCGCAGTGCTCTGTGGTGACCTAGAGAGGTGGGATGGGCATGGGAGGGAGGTTCAGAGGGAGAAGATGTATGTGTACACACAGATGATGCACTTCACATACAACAGAAGCTAATTCACTATAGTAAAGCAATTATGCTCCTAAAGAAAACGGATAACCAATAAGGACCTACTCAATACTCTATAACAACCTAAATGGAGAAAAGAATTTGATGAACAATAAATCCATATACATGGATAACTGAATCACTTTGCTGTCCACCTGAAACTAAGCCAGCATTTTTCATCAACTATACTCCAGTGGCACAGCCATCAGCCATTTCTGGCCTCCAGATGTGAATGAGGGCTCCCCAAACTATGATCCAACAGATGCCACCACCTCCCCCCAACGCTGATTGCTGAGGAGCTGAGAGAATGCAAGAAGTAGCCACTTGCCACTCCTTAATGTGAACAAGGAAGCAGGATTTGGCCCCGGAGAGCTGAGGTGCACGTGAAAGGAATGAATTCAGCGAGCCCAGAGGCTGCCTCCTCCCATACACAGAATGCTGAATTCCTTAACTTGATTCCGATCTTTGATGTTCGGACTCCCCGCGCCTTTGTTGCAAACTCGCAACCAAGTCTGTGTAGCCTGACTCCCCGTCCTGCCTCCTTGGAGCAGTTTTCTCAGAGCTACTGAGATGCTGTCTCCTGGGCTCGGAGTCCTAAACATTCCCCCCAAATTAAATAGCTCTCTACTTTCAGGTTGTAACTGTATTTTTCTCAGTTGACAATTTAAAGCAAGTTGCAACTGTCTAGATCATTAGGAGGGCATCCTTGTGTGACTCTTTCTCCTGAAAGCACCGAGTTCATGAGACACCAGTCTGGTTTTTCTAACTGAATTCTGAGAGCTGTGAGATCCATCCTGACACTGGGTGGGGTGACATTATCAATGGCCCCCCTATCGTACCAAAAGTGTCATCTCCAAATTCACATACCAAGGTCATAGCTCTTACTGCTGATATTTTAAAAATTAGTTACTACTTCCACGTTAGCCTGGGTCACGTGGAAGTGCTGTTTTGTGGGTCAAAAATGACACCACGTTGGCAATTTCACAAGGTTCTGTCTCACACAAAACACAGCAAACCAGTTTTGAGAGTATAAAGGGTCCAAAGTTCCCTCTCCCATTCTAATCCCTGCTTCCTCTCCCCAAAGGCGACAGCTGCTGCCTCGACCTGCAGAATAATTGCAGACTATTTGAGAACTATTTTACTTGCATATTAATTTATGAATGCGTGGAAGCATGGCCTGCACCCTTTTAAAAAAATTTTTTAATCGAAGGATAATTGCTTTAAAATATTGTGTTGGTTTCTGACATACGTCAACCTGAAAACATTATTTCTTTAGCTGAATCTCTTAGAAATTATTCAGCTAACTTGTTCATGTTTTTAATCAGATACCTATGGCTATGTCAGTTCTTTCCAGTGTTGTGCTATTATGAACAATACCAAAATGAACACACACACACACACACACACACACACAAACACACACTCAGTCATGTCTGACTCATTGTCACCCCATGGACTGTCACCTGCCTTTGTCCACAAGATTTTTCAGGGAAAAATACTGGAGTGGGTTGCCACTCCCTTCTCCAGAGGATCTTCCCGACCTAAGGATCAAACCTGGGTCTCCTACACTGCAGGCAGATTCTCTACCATCTGAGCCACCAAGGAAGCCTACATCTCTGGAAGGGAAATTACTACACTAAAGGGCTGGTGTTTTTAAATATTGAGAGATATTGACAAATTCCTCTCCAAGTGGGTCGCACTAACATGCCTTCTTCCCAACAGCATGTGTCTGGTCTCCACTTGACACTAGTCAATCTCATACCTTCCCTCCTGACGTACAGATTATTTTTAAATCGATCGGATAGTATTAGTCCTTTTACTTATTTAATTTTTGGCCTCTCTGTGAGGCGTGCGGGATCCTAGTTCCCCAGTCAGGGGCCCAGCCTGATCCCTCTGCAGTGGAAGCAGAGTCCTAACCCCTGGACCCCGAGGAAGTCCCTTGCAGATATTTTTGATGCACACACTTGTGTTCGTTAAGAAGCTTAAACTAAAATGGCGATGCTCAGAGTGCTGGTCACTGGCCTATTGGCTCTCAGATGAGCTCCCCATATCAGTGACTGATGTGGGGGAAGGATGGGAGGTGAGCGCTGAAGCAAATTCACAGCCCAGACTCTCCTGTCCACTGACCTCAGGTTAGGATTGGCTGGTGGAGCAGAGGGGTGGAGTGGGGAAGCTGGGGCCTTGCGCACTCTTGTTGGCCGTGGAAAAGGAAGAAGACGAATGAGTTTTTCTCTTTCCCTTTCCTGAAAACAAAGAAGATAAAGAGAACAATAGCAGGCCTGAACACTCCTAGTTTTTTTTTTTTCTTTTACTTTAGCTGCTCCTCTCTCTGAATGTCTGGAACTAAGTTTGCTTTTCTGCCCCTTTCCTCTGCGGGAGCTGTAATTCACATTGACCTTTGACCCTATGCTAAATACATCCTCGATCTAGTGTTTACCCTTACAACACCCTTCCCCTTATAGTTATATATCAGGAAGAAGGTCACCGAACTGTTAGACTCAAGAGGCAGAAACCAAGATCCTAACACTTTGTTCCTTACCACTGACTCCTGAATGCAAGCCCTCATCGTATATAAGCCCCTAGAGGTTGGGGGCGGGGGCACAGTTTTTGAGGCATGAGCTTACTGTGTTGCCCTCTCTGCTGGCTGAAGATTAAAGCCACCTTTCTATTTCCATACACTCTGTCTCGTATTTTTTAATTCGGCTTCAGTGGGCAGAGAAGGCCAAGATGCTGGCCAGTAGCACTCTGTCTGTTTCTGATGGCGTCTCCTGCAGGCACTGACTCCATTTCTCGGGCGGGGAGGGGGTGTTCTGGCTCCAGGTGGGTGCCCTGGCTCTCGGGCACTGCTTGCTTCAGCTGTTCCCTTTATCCCTGCATCCCAGGGCTGCTCGTGGGAAGCTTCTGGCTCTCGGACTGTGTTGCTCTACGTTGTTCATCCTTGCAGCTTTTCTGCTCTCCTTGCCACTGGCTCCCTGTTCAAAATCACCTTTATCGAACTCTCTGCTTCGGCTCCGTGTGTTCCATACTTTTCCCCTGCAAGGGACACTGAACGGACACACCCCAGGTCGACAGAAGTGAGAAGTTGCCACCTTCTTAAGCTGATGGTGCGAATGAAAATTATTGCAGAATTTGTTTTTGGCAGGCAGCTTGGTAATATCGCCCAGGAGCTTTAAAAACGAGCCTGCTCTTGCCTCATGTTTCAGAGATAGGTGTTGAAATATTTATGAATGGAATGATGTATGTCTGGGATTTGCTTCAAAACAAGCCAAGGGAGAGGATAAAAGGAGATTGGCCCTGAGCTGACAGTTGTTTAATCTGGGTGAAGGGTGCTTACACATTCGTGACACTCCTTGCTTTACTTATGAGTGTTTGCATATTTCAGTAAGAAAAAGGGTCTTTCCAAAGCAAAATCTTGGACCTTGCAATGTACTTTCTAAGAATTTATCCTAAAGAAAAAAACCTTCTAAATGTTAAAAAGGAAAGATAAGAAAAAAATTATAAATGTTAAAAAGAAAAGATTTATCGTTAAAAATGGTTTCTAAGAGCACTGTTTATAATAACAAACAGTTGGCAACAATCTGATCTTCTGACAGTGGGTTGGTCCTATCCTAAGTTATATGACACATTGGAAGTGGTTTAAGCTTAAGAAGAGTCGTGTTTCAGAAGCAAGCACATTGTCAAAGATCTTCATGACTTTATTTCTTTTGTTCATGATAATTTAAGTGAAAAAACAAGTTATAAGCATGAGATAATATAAGTGAATTTACATTTTTTTTACACGTGTCTAAAGGAGGAGGTGAGGGGTATGCACACAAGTATGAACAGTGTCACGTGGATAGGGTTGTGTTCTTTCTTCCTTTTACTTGTTCACACTTTCTGGTTGGTTGGTCGTATGGTAGTTCTTATTATCATGTACAAGTATCAAAAAGTAGGACTTGTGACCTATGAAGCACACACGTGTTACTTTTGAATTATCAGAGATGAATGGCACATCCTTTTTTCCCTCACTCCCTCTTCCCTCTTTTAATGCCCCCTTTTAAATGGAACCTGCCCAGACACTGCTATATTTAAAATGGATAACCAACAAGAACTTACTGTATAGCACAGAGAACTCTGCTCAATGTTACATGGCAGCCCGGATGGAAGGGGAGTTTGGAGGAGAACGGATACATGTGTATGTATGGCTAAATCCCTTTGCTGTCCACCTGAAACTATCACAACATTGTTACCTGACTATACCCCAATATAAAATGAAAAGTTTAGAAACATAAGCAACCAAAAAAATCAACACTACCCTTGACTGAAGGTTTGCATGCTGAAGCTGAAGCTGCAATCCTTTGGCCACCTGATGCGAAGAGCTGACTCACTGGGAAAGACCCTGATGCTGGGAAGGATTGGGGGCAGGAGGAGAAGGGGGCGACAGAGGATGAGCTGGTTGGATGGCACCACCGACTCGATGGACATGAGTTTGAGTAAGCTCTGGGGGAGAGTGAAGGACAGAGAAGCCTGGCGCAGGTTGGGGAGAAAAAAAGGAAACAGAAAAGGGGGTGCCAAGGGGAACGGGAACAGTCACAAACCTTCCCTGCTGGGCTGACGCTGCGTTTACCCACGATCGGGAGCGTGGGGGTGGGATGTGGGCGACAGCAGACACGGGCACTGTCTGGCGTGGCCCCCTTCACGCGCCCCTGGCTGCCCTGCCCTCGCCCCCTCTTGCAGGTCCCCAGCCACTGGGCTGCTGGTCCCCTCCTGGCCTCGGCCACAGCCTTGCCCTCGCATCCCATTCCTGCCGCCTGTCCTGCAGCCGCTCAAGGTTTTGACTGATGACTCTTGTTTCAGGGGATGCTCCCTTCTCAACAGGTACTGTCTCAGCTGCTGACCCATTTTTGGCCACATCATCCAATAATGAGCATAGACAACCAGGCACTCAACTGTGCACCAAACTGCTCTAAGGATCGTCATAAGCATTGTCTCATAGAACCCTCCAATATTCTATGAGAATGACAACCCCTCCCCCCTCCACAGCCTCCCCCCCGCCCCCAATTCTGCAGATAAGAGGCTGAGAGAATCAAAGGAATGAAATGACTTGCCCAGAATCCCACCCCACAGGCCCTGGGGCTTAGTGGCAGAAGCAGGGTTCAAACCCAGGTCCCTGCAGTTTCTGCTACATGGTGGGTGTCATCGTGTCTGTAAGGATGCCGGGAAGACTGAACTCTGGAGGTGGCCTCTGCCTGGTGCCAGCTCTGACCCAGGCCAATGCTGAGCCTCCCTGTAGCCTGGTTCCTCATCTGTAGGACAGGAGTGACAATAAGACTGTGCCATGCCCCATCACTCCAGTCATGTCCAACTCTGCGGACTGCAGCCTGCCAGGTTCCTCTGTCCATGGAATTTTCCAGGTAAGGTTACTGGAATGGGTTGCCATGCCCTCCTCCAGGGGATCTTCCTGACCCAGGGATCGAACCCATGTCTTCTGCATTTCCTGAATTGCAGGTGGATTATTCCCTGGTAGCTCAGATGGTAAAGCATCTGCCTGCAATGTGGGAGACCCGGGTTCCATGCCTGGGTGGGAAAGATCCCCTGGAGAAGGAAATGGCAACCCACTCCAGTATTCTTGCCTGGGAAATCCCATGGACAGAGGAGCCTGGTGGGCTATAGTCCATGGGGTTGCAAAGAGTCAGACACGACTGAGTGACTTCACTATTTACCCCTGAGCCATCGGGGAAGCCCGGCAATAGGACAGCGGTGAGGATGAACTCAGAGGATGAAACGGCAAAGGGAAAGTACTTAGAGCGATGCCCTTCAGAGTGCACCCTTTTTGCACATCACAATTGATCTCAGAGCTTGAAAATCTCTGAGCCACCCACCCCCGAGATTCTGATGTCCTTGATCCAGGAGCAGCCTAGACACTGCGTTTTCTAAAACCCCCTCCTCCCGGTGATCCTAACCTGCAGCCAAGCTTGGGTCCAACTGCCTAGCGCACAAGAAGCGCCTAATAAATCATAGATGCTTTGTTCTGTCTGGTCACACCCCACTTCTGGCTCCCAGATTCTGGGGTCTCCAGCCTCAAGCTTCCCTGACAACGATGCTGTCCATTCCGGGGTGGCCCCTCTGGGCTCCTAGGGCTCCCTCTGGGCCCTAGCTTGCCCTCGGGCTGCAGGTATTTGGCTTAGCACAAGCCCTGTGCCCGATTTCAAGAAAGACAATTCCAGAACACTCATGCTAGGGGCAGTGGGTGCAGAAGGAGAGGCTTGAGGGGCCCTAGATGCTCTGGGGGTCTCCTGTAAGAGGAGGAGCCCCACCTAGGCTGATTTCAATGGGGGCTGCCGCGTGTCTTTGGAAGCCAGTTCTGACAGCATTCAGTACGAGAGTGCCACTCCCAAGTCACACCGTGACCTGGTAGCCAGGGTCTGGGATCAGCGCCTGGGTTTGCAAAACCTGACTTTAGTCAAAATTTCCTAAATGGAAAGGAAATCCAAAAAAGAGGGAATATATCGCTGATTCACTTTGCTGTGCAGCAGAAACTAACACATTGTACTATTTCAGTTGTTGTTCAGTCACCAGTCACGTCCGACTCTTTGTGATCCCATGGACTGCAGCACACCAGGCTGCCCTGTCCTTCACCATCTCCCAGAGTTTGCTGAGACTCATGTCCATTGAGTCGGTGATGCTATCCAACCATCTCATCCTCTTCTGTCCCCTTCTCTTCCTGCCCGCAATCTTTCCCAGTGTCAGGGTCTTTACCAATGAGTCGGCTTTTCACATCAGGTGGTCAAAGTATTGGAGCTTCAGCATCAGTCCTTCCAATGAATAGTCAGGACTGATTTCCTTTAGGACTGACTGATTGGATCTCCTTGCAGTCCAAGTGACTCTCAAGAGTCTTCTCCAGCACCACAGTTTGAAAGCATCAATTCTTTGGAACTCATTCCAATAAAATGTTTTTTGAAAAATTGCCTTTATGATATCTCTGTGTTTGAGTACCAGAAAAAGTACCAGAGCAAAGTAAAATGTGTAACTTTAGACACTAGGAGACCAGGAATGGCTGAACAGCAGCAAGCTGTCATTCTCCATGCCTTGCTCATCCTCGTGCACCCCAGCAGGTGGGACTGTCTGTAGAATTCACACCTTTGCACTTCTCTCTCTCCACCCCCCACGCCTCCAGCAGTATGCCTGTTGTTCCATAAACCTGAGCGAACTGACAACATGCTGTGACTTCCCCCTAGTTAAGTTGTTCTGTAATCAGGGTGATTTTGTCTCCAGGAGACATGCGACAACCTCTGAAGATATTTTTGGTTGTCACAACTTGGGGAGGGTTGCTACAGGCATCTAGGGAGTAGAGGCCAGGGATGCTGTAACCATCTAAAATGTGCAAGACAGGAAGTCTCACTCGTGGAGTGGATGCACCACCCGGGCCCCTCTGCCATCTGGGACCCCAGACTACTCTTAACAAGGGACTTTCCAGTACTGATCAAGTCTGGACATGACGAACAAACCTGACCCCAAGCAGGAGAAGTCGATTCAGACTCCAGTGACTTAAAAGGTTTGACTTTGTGGGCACACCAGAAATGTGGGCATCTGGGAGAAAAAGCAACATACAGACTCTTCTTGGAAGTCTGACCGTAATGTGGATTCATGTCTCAACCTTCAAGGGTCTTCAGCTGGAGAAACATGAGCCAGACCCCAAATCAGCATACCTTCACCTGCCCAGCAAACCAGGCCTCTTCTTTCTTAACTGTGATGTGCTGTGGACACAGTTTATCTGTCTGTTAGATCACACGGGCTTCCCAGGTGGCACTAGTGGTAAAGAACCCTCTTGCCAATGCAGGAAGCATAAGAGACATGGGTTCAATCCCTGGATCAAGCAGATCTCCTTTAAGAGGGCATGGCAACCCACTCCAATATTCTTGCCTGTAAAATCCTATGGACAGAGGAGCCTGGCAGGCTACATGGGGTCATAAGAGCCAGACATGACTTAGTGACCAAACCCCCACCACAACATCAAAACCACATGAACTTAGGTTAACATACGACAAAGACTTTTTACAGTTGTTTACAGACTCAGTAATGTTTCAGTTCTTCAGTCACCCGCTCATGTTCGACTCTTTGCAACACCACAGACTGTAACACGCCAGACCTTCCTGTCCATTACCATCTCCCAAAGTTTGCCCATGTTCATGTCCATTGCATCAGTGATGCCATCTGGCCCCCTCCGCCTCTGATGCCTTCTTCTCCGTCAGTTACACCAAAACAAATCCTTAACTGACATGTTTGATTGGACTGCTTGTTCTCTGCAACTGCTGTATTATCTTGTTCAGAAGGATGAGGCCTGAGGGGTTTTAATGTCTGCTAACGCATGCATGGTCAGTCGCGTGCTCAGTTTCTCAGCCATGTCCGACTCTTTGTGACCCCATGGACTGCAGCCCACCAGGCTCCTCTGTCCATGGGATCTTCCAGACCAGAACACTGGAGTCGGTTTCCTCCTACAAGGATTGAACCTGTGTCTCTTGCATCTCCCACGTTGGCAGATGGATTCTTTTACCACTAGCGCCCCTGGGAAGCCCCTACTAATACACATGCATGGGAAAAAGATTATTTAGAGAGTGGGTTCCTAATGATCATTGGGTATTTATCCCTGAAGGCATTACTGAATGCACTGACACCTAATACCAAGGAACTCTGTACCACTAGAGTACAGGTAATGTGAGTTTGATGTGCCGATTTTGTGCATTACCTATTGTTTTTGGAGAGGAATATTGACTGCCTCTTTTCACTGGAAATTATTTGAACTTTCATAACTATACCCACTTTTTGACAGATTGTGATAAAGCTACCAAAGGACTGTTGTATGGATCTACTTCTCTTATTGGGAGCCCTACTTATTAGAGAACTCTATCCACTATTGTGAATTGACTTTTTCCTAAATCCTGTGATGTCTTTTTAAAGATAGCCCCTCAATTTGTATGTATTGTAACCTGTGATGTAGAAATTACCTCTATGTACCAGTTAGGAAACCCATTTTCTGGATTCCTAACACTTGTTGAATAATGGACTGGTTCCAAATTGGGAAAAGTACGTCAAGGCTGTATATTGTCAGCCTGCTTATTTAACTTATATGCAGAGTACATCATGGGAAATGCTGGGCTGGATGAACCACTAGCTGGAATCCAGATTGCCAGGAGAAATAGCAATAACCTCAGATATGCAGATGACACCACTCTTATGGCAGAAAATGAAGAGGAGCTAAAGAGACTCCTGATGAAGGTGAAAGAGGAGAGTGAAAAAGCTAGCTTAAAACTCAACATTCAAAAAACTAAGATCATGGCATCTGGTCCCATCACTTCAAGACAAATAGATGGGGAAACAATGGAAAGAGTGGCAGACTTTTTTTTTTTTTTTTAGGCTACAAAATCACTGCAGATGGTGACTGTAGCCATGAAATTAAAAGATGCCTGCTCCTTGGAAAAAAAGGTATGACAAACCGAGACAGCATATCAAGAAGCACAGACATTACTTTACCAACAAGGGTCCATCTATTCAAAGCTATGGTTTTTCCAGTAGTCATGTATGGATGTGAGAGTTGGACCATAAATAAAGCTGAACGCCGAAGAATTGATGCTTTTGAACTGTGATGTTGGAGAAGACTCTTGAGAGTCCCTTGGACTGCAAGGACATCAAACCAGTCAATCCTAAAGGAAATCAGTCCTGAATATTCATTGGAAGGACTGATGTTGAAGCTCAAGCTCCAACATCACCTGTTGGCCACCTGATGTGAAGAACTGACTCATTG